GTTTTGTTACCTTTCTGTACCTCTTATGTTGTCTTTGTTGGATGGCTATCGCGTTTTAGTTATGTTCTTCCGTAGCAAAACTGGTAGTATGTTAAGCTGCAAGAAAATCCATCCTAATTTATTATTTCCTTGAATGTGCTTTCTCTCAGGGATTTGGTGTTGAAGATTCAGATGTTGAGTCTCCTAGAGACATCCATTGTTCAGTTGAGAGTACAGACGTGCCCACTAGAGTGAAAAGACAAATTGAAGAGCCCATTAAAGATATAGAAATCTCCAGCGTATCACCTACTGGAAATTGTTATCAATCAGGGAGAGAGGCTATGCCATCTGTTAATCCCACTGCTCCTCTCTCAGCCCCTAGATACGCAACTTCAGTTGAGAAACCTGCGAATAAAATTACTGGCTTATCAACAGCCAATGCAAAGCGTTCTTCATCCTGGGGAAGAAGCAACGTAAGTTTTCCATTACTGCCTTGAAAGTGATAATTCTGTTGTCTTAGTCTCTGCAAGTAACTCGCAACGGATGCATTTTATGAAGTATGTATGAGATGTTTAATGTATTCTGTCATCTGTCCTTAGAACTCTTTCTATCATCACTAGACTTAGTTATTTCACTTGATAAAGTTGGATCTCCTTGATCTCTTTTGTTGTCAGGTCATGATAGAAAATTCCTTTTAACTTTCATTATGTCATGTTTATTGTCTATAGGCAAGATGCGCGGTTGCKACTTGCATAAGCGTAAAAGAAAAGTAATTGTCAACATCTTAGTTAGATTAGATGTAGTTAGAAGTCGCGCTTTGGAATAAATATCATAATGAAAGTTAGTTGCTTTGCTTGTATAGTGGGGAAATAATGGTAGGAAAAATGAGTTTAACGTGATAGCTCACTCAATTCCTTTCTTTGTTTACTGTGTGCAGGGCAAAAAAACACCTGCTAAAGGATCATTTGATGGTTCAGGAAATGACGAGTAAGATACTCATTCCTGAATGCATATATTGTGTTCTATAACACTCCTATTTGCCATCTAGTGTTTTTATTCATACAGTGCAGTTTAATATATTGGCATCTGTAGTTATGCAGCAGTATAATCGAGGACATATGAGTTGTCTTTGTTCATATGAGGTTGACTTGAGCTTATTCACTGCTTGTAGGCTTCTTATACAGAGGCTTGAGCTCATGAAAGATGAGCTGCGTCAACGAATTGCTAAGGAGGTACTTGTTCTGGCAGTAGAAGTATTATATGCTGATTACATAATTCTGCTGTATTGATTGAGTCGACCACTGCAGGCTAAGGGAAATGCAGTATTACAAGCTAGCTTGGAGAGAAGAAAGCAGGCTTTGCACGAACGTCGGTTGGCACTTGAACAAGATGTATGAACCTTCTCTCGAGAAGTGTCGTGTTTCTATTCTCCAATTTTTCTGTAGAATAAACTTCCATTTTGCTAACCAAGCTTGCCGTTGAATTGTCAGGTGGGCAGATTACAGGAGCAGCTGCAAGCTGAGAGAGACCTACGATCCGCTCTTGAAGTTGGTCTAAGCATGTCTTGTGGACAATTTAGCTCACAATCTGCGGATTCTAAAGTCAGTATACACTTTAGCTTGAAAAAGCAGTTTAATAATTTTTTACGGTTATTTATCTGGCTCTGCTTAGTTCTAACATCACAATAAATGCAAAGACAAGGGCTGAGCTTGAGGAGATTGCTCTTGCTGAAGCTGATGTCGCAAGGTTGAAGCAGAAAGTTGCGGAATTACATCATCAGCTTAATCAGCAACGCCAGCATCACTTAAGTTCACTCCCAGATGCTCAAAGCCATCACCAATTTCTCCAGAATCACAATACTCAACTGTGAGTTTACACTCTGTACCTGGTTTTAGCTTTAACTCAAGTACATTCAGTAGTCCATACCAAATAATATTACTCGAAAGTAAACTTGCTAAGAGAAAATATACTCTGCTTATACAATGTCGCAGGAAGTCTTTTCAGCAGGACTTTGATTCTATTCTTGCTTTCGTGAATCACGAAAGAAACCAAAGAACGGTACAAATCTTATTACATGACTGAGGAATCTCATCAACCATCGACCCCATTTCCTAACTATCTTTCAGTAACATTCAGTTCTATTGAATCATATAGGATGAAACTAGCATAAGAGCAGACTGGAGAAACGGTAGAGGAAACGACAGACAAGTACCAGGCTCACCGGGACTGAATGAAGCGTCTTTAGGCATTCCCATGGAAGAGTTTTCTCCTGTTAGTGTATCTCTTTTGTTGTTGTCTTGTTAAAAACAATCTCACAATCATCAGAACTCTAATGGTGTAGTTGCAAAATTATACGGTCTTTGTAGGTAACGGAGTACGCAAGACACCATCATCATCCTCATCCACCTCCTGCAGCATCTGCAGCACTGATGGAGCTAACCACTCGTCTAGATTTCTTCAAGGAACGACGTTCACAACTTATGCAACAGATTCAGAATCTTGACCTCAACTATGGTTCCTCTTCTTCTTCTGTGCACCGGTCGTCTTCTCCACCATGGAATTAAAGCTCTTTGAGCAATCTTTTGTCCACGAAATGTAAAAAAAAGTCTCTCATCTTGTGCAGAGTCGACTCATGTTTGTAAAACCGGTTTAATGTCAAACCAACTATATTTATTTACCAACTGAGATTGATGAGAAATGGTTTGCTCTTGTATTTGATCTGTTTTTCTCTAAAATATAAAAGCTGTATTAACAACCAAATTAATCGTAACTTAGTTGGATTGATTTACGCCAAATCTACTCTATAATATCAAAAAAAATTAATTTGGTATTCTTTAGTATAAAAAAAGATTCTCTAGTTAGTGGTATAATGAATATTTAATTACGACAAGAAAAAAATGAATATTTAATTATTCGAAGGAAAAGAAGTATTCTTCGAGGATAAGAAAACGCGCTTTACGAATCGCGTTCTCTCTATATATAGAGAGAGAGAGTTACACTTTAGAGTCTAAAGCGTACGAATCAAAATATCCTTTTTGTTTGGAGATAATTGAAGAAAGGAAAGAGACGATAATGGCGGATCAAGGAACAGTCGTTGGAGGAATTCGCGATATTGATGCAAATGCAAATGATCTTCAAGTCGAAAGCCTCGCTCGTTTCGCTGTCGATGAACACAACAAGAAGGAGGTTCGTTTTCTACCATCTTTCGCTACGTTCATTTTCCATGAATCTGTTTAATCGATCTAAGTAGCAAATCGTCCGATCTTATGGTAAATCGATCATTCATCGATGAATCCTCGAATGTAAAGTAGAAATCGCTTCACTGGGTGTAGTTTTTGTCGTCGATTCCAGAGAATTTAGGGATTTGGTATTGATCAATTTTTTTTTGTTTGGATCTGTAAGCCATGAATTATGTTCCTCGCGATAGATTGATTTTAAGATTTTGAGAGATTGTTGGTTGGGTGCAAAGGTTTTGAAGAAAAACCATTTTGTAGAATGTTGATAAGAAACTGCTTCTGAATCGATTTCCTTGTTGTGGTCATATAGATCTCTTCTCTTGTGTTGATTAAATAATGTGAATGGTTTCAGTTTAGGCTATAAGAGAGGTTTTTTTTTGGTTTCTTCATATAATTCAGACCATCTCTCTCTTATGTATACAGAACGTGACTCTGGAGTACAGGAGGCTCCTTGGTGCGAAAACACAGGTTGTGGCTGGAACAATGCACCATCTCACTGTGGAGGTGGCTGATGGTGAGACCAAGAAGGTCTACGAGGCCAAGGTTTTGGAGAAAGTATGGGAGAATCTCAAGCAGTTGGAGGGTTTCAACCACCTTCACGATGTTTAATCCGATAACTGAGCTGTTCTGTGCGGTAAAAACACATCACATTCTATATGTTGCTTACTTTTTTCTTATACAATACTTGGCCTCAAGTGATGATCTTAGAGACATATACTTAATGTTTATTTATTGTAATTGGTTCAAAAGATGTCTTATTTTTCTGCTTTGCTTTGCAGGCTTGAGTGAGACTCTAAGACTACGGGATAAGAGTCACGGTGTTAACCAAGGTAACTCCTTAAATAAAGTGAATGTGAATCCAGTCCATGTGTTTGATTTGATGGGTGTGTAAGGAACTGGTATTGTGTGTGACTTTCGTTTGTGTATTGCTATTTGCAAACTCGCACTTTAAAAATCTATCTCCCTTGAGTTGACAAAACTTAATGATCAAAATCAATGTACATGCTGTCCCACATTTCTAAATCATATTTAAAACATCATATGATATGATCATCTTTAAAACTTGGTAAATCCGGGAATCACTTCTAGTATCGAAAATTTGATTGAAAGTGTGAGCTTTGGTAGAGTCAGATCCATGACAGTCTTAAACAAGATCGAGGGCGAGAGTAGACCATCGATTACTTTACTGAGAGATGTGATCAACCTTCTTCACTGCCTCCTCTATCTTTAGGCTGAATGAAATAAAACAACCCACTCTGTCCACAGTACCAGAAGCAGAAATTTTGAATGCTTATCACTCCATATGATTTCTTCATCATAATCATAAGTATGGATCCGAACAACACAAACTCTTGAACCATTTAACGGTCTGTGACTTTGAAGCTTTACAGTTAAATCATTCTGGTCGTCTCCATCATCTCTTCATTGTTGGAAACTAAGTTGTAAGTACCGTTGAAAGATCACCCACAGGAAACCAAAGACACTAAACTAGTTCCGCTCGTCTCAAAACAATCATGGGCCAAGCACATCAGTTTGTTTCATAAACCCACACGACATACGTCTTCCGACAAATAGACTAAGGTTTTAGTGGTCTTGTTCTTAGTTCTTTGCAGCTTTTTACGACCAAACAAAAAGTAAAAATATGCCTGGCAAAGCATGGTCTCTTTTCGCTGTGTTTTTATCTACAGTAAGTAACATATCTGCGAAATGCTTTGCTAGACAATGCGATTTTGTTTTCATGAACTGTTTGATTGAATACATCTGGAATCTGTTCCACATTCTTAGTTAGCTGTCGTCGTAATTGTTTGCTAGGCTCAACAGTACTCCGGTGCTGAGAGAAAGCGCCACGACACCAAGTGACGCCTCGGTCGATACATGGAAGCCTGCAAGTATGAATAAATGTTCGTGATAGCTTAGTATTTGCGGTAGTTGTATGTTTTCGTTCAAGCAGAAATTGCGGATGAAGGGATACTATAGATACCAAAGAAATCGAGGATCATCTTGACTCCGATGAAGCCAAGAACAACAGCAATTGATGGCTGGTAAAGGCAAAGACAAGATTAGATACAAATCATACTTTTCCAAAAGCTACCTACTAAGCATTACTTACTGTTAATGACCCTAGTTAAGGAACTGTCTTATTATGTATTTGATGCTTTAGTTTGTTCGAGCATCGAACAGAGATGCGCCCAATATAAAATAAAAGAAGTGATTAAGATAACCTGTAAGTATTCCAGCTCGCCCATTCCTTCAGAAATCAGTGTATAGAGAGACCTTAGTCCTGCAACAAACAAAAAATGAAACTCTTATGATAAATCTTCCACTGAAATTCAATTCAAAGTTCCAAGAGTATATTAAAAAGACAGGATAGAGACTGACAAGATTAAGAAGAGGCAACAAATACCTAAGATTGCAAAGAGATTAGATGTCAAGACAATAAAAGGGTCCCTCGTGACGCCGAAAACAGCTGGTATCGAGTCAACCTAAGAGAATGGGCAAACAATTTCAGTGCTTTGCTTCATTATTTTAAGAACCAAAACAGATTCACAAAGTGGTGATGGAGGATACAGCAAATGCTATGTCACTGAGCTCGATCACTGCTACTGTGAGTAGCAATGGTGTGGCCTGCCCAAAATGTTTTGAGATTAATTAGAACCCAATCAACAGACACTAAGATGAATATTTTGACCATGGAATTTACATGCAAGAAGACATAAAGTGACTGGTACATAAACCTTAAAATATCAATGAAATTTTTGTCATATACTTACTTTCCAAATGCCTTCATGCGTTGTGAAAAATCGATTTCCATCATAAGTTGCTGCCGACAGTTGATATCAAAAGAATGGAGGGAAAACATCAGCAATGAAATCAAGCTAAACAATATTAGCACTGAATTTGAAGCACAAGTACAGTGTATATTACATGTGACAGGAATAAATCTCTGGCATGTCTTAACAATGAAGTTGTCAGATAGATCTGTATCGTCTTCTTCACTTGCAAATAACTGTAGTACGACATTGGGCACATAAAATCTAAATGACAGAGCACACTTTACGTTCCATACTAAGAGTTGGATTTAATTATAGGAATAATAGATGAGGTAATATGCACCTTGAATGACGAATATAAAAGAACTGCAGCAAGCAGTAGGTTGACTGCTTCAAATTTCTGAAAGACGGTAACTCAAATGAGGGCCGAAAAACGATAGAAACAACCACGTAAATTCATGAACATTCTTATTCAAAAATTAAAATCACCTGGAGAGTGGCTGTTCCTAGTAATATCAGCGTGAAGCGGAAGACAATTGCACCAGCTATACCGTAGGTAAGTACCCGATTCTATAGAAAGGCCACAGAATCAGAATACTCTATAGTCAAGAGCTAAATCTATGTGCAGAAAATTCGGTACCTGATACATAAGCGGCACTTTGAAGTACTTGAAAACAAGAACAAAAACAAACAAGTTGTCCACTGACAAGCTTTGTTCCAACAAATAGCTGCAAGAGTTGAAATACTGTTAAGTGTTAACACAGGAAATATCCTTCAGAGCTAATCAAACTTCTATAAATCATAACTAAAAGCGCTACGGACCCTGCGAAAAACTCAGATGCCTTGCCAACACCTTCCTTCAAACCTATTCCAATTCCAAATGCCACCGCAGTGCCTACCTATCGAGATTAAAAAAAAAAAAAAGACATTACGCTTCATTATACAGCCAAAAAAGGTATTAGCAGATGCAAGAAAATACTAACACACAAGGCAACAGTCTTGAATGATGTTTTGTTTGTCTCTTCTTTCAAGCCTCCACTATCTAATGCACTCGAATCATTTTTGTGTGGTAGAAGATCTCTGCTTTCCTTCTCTGTACTAACATGCCACAAACAAAAATCATTGCCACACGAAAAAAAGCTTCTCTTTTCTCTTAATAGAGTTATAAACTGTTACAATTGTGTCTTAGCAATCAAAATTAAAGATCATAATGTGATGTAAGAAACAGACCATAGCAATCGAACCCAAGAATAATCCATTGATTGAAACAAATAAGAAAATGTTACAAAAAATTGAATTTTTATTTGGAGAAGAAGCATTTACCTGAAGAAGAAGAAAGATCATCTTCCTGATCAGTTTCTCTGGAGCAAGCAATAGGATTAAGATGAGAGAGACGACGATTCGCAGCTGAAAAAAAGGTAACCCAGAAGCACATTAGCATAACCCAGATTGATGAATCCGTCCATTTCACACAATATGTGTAAAAGAGAAGAGAAAGACCTGAAACGAGAGAAGGATTTAGAAAGAGAGACAAACGAGAATCAGTCCATCCACGAGCTCGAAATTCCGGCGGAATCACCGGAATGGTAACAAAGATTCGATCCGATTTCGCCGGAGCGAGAATTCCGTGGTGGATAACTGAAGGTAAGCTCATAGTAGCGTTGCGTCAAATCCAAAACCAAGCTCTTGCGAGTGACCAGTATCAATCGGTGAAGAACAAACGAAACGTTGTCGTTTTTGAAAGACCCGACCCGCCCGGGAATATACAAACGAATAATCTAGCATTTGACGGTACTACCCCTCATTTGGGTAAAGTGATTAAATTCCTTTGGGTTAA